CTTAACTGTACCCCACAAAACCATAATAAAAAATATTGATTAATAAAAAAAAAAAGATGAAGCGTTTCCCTCTCAGAGAGGTGAAAGCCAGGGTTGTAGATGGCAGGATGAGAGCGGAAGGCAGTGAACAAGATGGGCTCTGTAGAGAAGAGCAACGTCCAGGATGAACATAGACTGTAGACAAAGCCTGTGTTTAACAGGAGGCAGCTCCTGCAGGGAAACTGAGGGAAGGTTGAAAGGTATGAGGACTCAGAATGATCCACCTCAGAAAAGCAGAGGGTGGAGAGGATGGGTATTTTGCAGGCAGATTGGACAGAGCTTATGAAGGAAAGAAAGAAGAAGGGGATGATCCGAGGTTTTTGGCTTAGGTAATGGGGTAGAGGAATGACAACTCCATTGCACTGATGTCAGAAGAGCAGATTTGGGGGAAACATATTGTCTGAGGTACCTTTGGGATACCTGGGAGGAGATTCCCCATTGGAGAACTGTGGCTCTGCACTCATGAACAAACCAGAGCAGTTGTATTTCTCAGGTTGGCTTCCCAGGAAGAGTTTTATCCATGGAGCTTATGGGCGAGCACTGTCAGCATCATCAGCATCTTTGGGGGAGGGCTGGTGAAGGACGCAGAGTTGGATGGAGGGAGAAGTTGAACTGCAATTACAACAAAAGCTGCTGGCGAACCCTTCGGAGTTGTCCCAAATTGAGACAACCGGCCACTGGATGCAGATTGCAGAACTTGAGCAGGTCAGCTGTCCTCAGATGTGCACCATCCACAGGGACAGTCTCAGCTGGGATGCCCCTTGACCCTGGGCAGCATTACAGCGTTCACTGCAGCTCAGCCCTGCGCTGCTGGATCTTCTTGGTTTACTAAGTTCTCAGAGAAGCTCCTACAGAATTCCAGTGGGACTCTCTCTGTGAGGGGGACACCTTCGAGAGGAGGGTCTGCAGGATGGACACCCTCTTCTGCAGAAGCTGGTCTCAAGACCACTGAGCACCAGCCTCTCCCTTCTCTGTTCTCTGCTCTGGAGTCCCTCACCACTGGCTGGAAGGCTTGTGTGGGAAAGTGATGCAGACTGTCATCCCTGTGGTATCTCAGTCCCTGGTCCCCATGTCCTTCTCAGGCTGTGTCTGCTGTATTTGTCAGTTGATCATGAAAGTGAGCCAGAGAGCACCAGAAGATGCCCCAGTGGCTGTCCTGAATGCCATGCAGGTTCTTCCCCGCCCGTGTTGTGCCAGTAGCTGTACCTTTTCTTGCTTCCTTCTAGGGTCATGACTCCTTTCCTTGCCTGCTAGTCTTCTGACACAGGAAGCCCACAATGACCAGGCAACAGCTGTAACTTAAAATGTAATGGGTTTCTTGCTGAGCCCCTGGTGGAAGTGTCCCCACATGAGAGCTCCACTCTCTAAACCCATGGAACCTAGAGTTACACAGGAAACTCAGATTCCTCAAATGAGCCACTGGGAGGGAGAGGAATCAGGGTCACTTCTTCCCTTACTTTCAAGGCCCCTATGTTCTCCCTGTATAATGGTTGTTGATTTAGAGATTAAGCTGCATCCTAGAGCATGGAGTACCGTCTTTGTGGGGCACATCTCCAAGCTGGTATTTCACTTGCATCTTCCACTGGCCGTGCATTGGTTGGCAAGTTGGCAGCTCCTGAGTCACATGGTATGCACAAAGGTCAGTGTATCCCATGGTCTTGCCCCTGCTGCTCCCACTTTCTGTAAAGGGATCTTTTGGTCTGATGTGATATCACTTGGGACTCTGGTCAGTAGATCAAGCACTCCGTAAGCCTCAAATAGTGGTGCTGGCTGGCAGAAAAGGCAGAGAGACCACTATCTGGAGTGTGTCAATTCCAGTTAAGATGAATTGCTGCTGCCAGCTTTAGTTTCCTAGGACTACCATAACAAAGTCCCACAGGCTGGTGGCTTAAACAGCAGGAATGGATTTTTCACAGTTTTGAAGGCTGGAAATCAAGTTGGCAGTGCCAGTAGGGTTGATGCCTGGTGAGGACGCTCTCCTTGCCTTACAGACAGCCACCCTCCCACTGTATCCTCACACAGCCTTTCCTCTGTATGCATGCACTCTTGTTGTCTCTCCCTCTTGTAAGGACACCAGTCCTGTTGGATAAGTCCCACCCTTGTGATCTCATTTAACCTTACCTCCTTATGGGCCCTTCCTTTAAGTACAGTCACAATAGCCGGGCTCAGTGACTCAGCCTGTAATCCTGCGCCTTTGGGATTGCCTGAGCCCGCGGGTTCGAGACCTCATCTCTACAATAAATCAAAAAATCAGTCAGGCATGGTAATGCATGCCTGTAATTCCGGCTACTTGGAAGGCTGAGGCGGAAGGATTGCCAGAGCCCAGCAGGTAGAGGCTGCGGTGGCCGGGAACGACCACTGCACTCCAGTCTAGGCGAGAGTGAGACTCCAACTCAAAAAAAAAAAAAGTACAGTCACATTGTAGGGTTAGGGCTTCAGCCTGTGAATTGGGTTGGGGGAAAATGCATTCTATAACACTGCTGCCTCCAGAGTGAAAAGGGCCCAGTATAGTGTACCTGGACTAAGTGAAGGTTCTCCTTGCCGATGGTGGTGTATCAGGCTCAACACGCTCTCTGTCAGTGGTATGTGGGATATTCCACAGTGGCAGAAGCTAGGTCAGCCTGGATGAGGAAGGCCCATGCATAGCCTCCATCCTGGCCACCATGGCTACTCTGTTCATGTGCCTGCACTAGAGTGACCAGTGATAGAGTCACAGAGTCATTCTGTCAACCTTCAGTTTGGTGTCCTTTCAGTGGTAGATGTCTGTGGTAGGTGTTACCAGCAAAACACTTGACCTATTCTTACCTGTATCTGCACGCCTCCTCCTCCTCCTCCTCCTCCTCCTCAGGTCTCCTTGTCCCCTCCCTCCCACCCCCTTGACTAACCCAGGTCATCTGCCACGCCCAGTGAATACACACGTGAGTGCCTCAGGCCACTCCTCTCTCCACAGAGTTGATGACCAAATGTACCACCCAGGCTCTGCCCATGGGGGTGGGGGGTGGGTCTCCCCTCATCTCTGTCTTTCAGGGTCACCCCTAAGTCGAACTATAGTACATCCATGGTCCTTCAGCTGGCACTCATGTCCCCAGCCAGCCTTAGAGGCACATTTGGCAGTCTCCCACTCTGTCACTTGGGTCTAAGGGTCTTACCCCTGTGGCAGTGGTTGTGAGCTGGGACAGGGCTGCGGTGCAGCAGAGGTGGCTGAAGGATGGCCTGGCATGCCTGCTTCTGCAGCTCACCTGTGCCCTCCAGCTCCCGTTTGTTCGTAGCCATCCGGCTGTCATCAGACTCCTCCACTTTTGTAGCTTAGCCTTCCTCACAAGGCTGAAGTCCAGAGCAGGACAGCAGACCCTGGGCTCTTGGTGGGGCCTAGAGTCGAGTGACCTGCAGGAGAGCAGAGCACA